GTCCAACTTTGTGCAGCAGCACACTGATATGGAAGGCATGCAGGAGAGAAGCATGAGGAAACCTGCCTCTGTTCTCCAGTTTAACAAATCGGCTAGGGGCAGGTTCTACCCACGTGCCTTTCCCTTACAATTTCCTCATCTCTTTTATACAGCCTGGAAGTGCACTCAGCTGGAAGCCCAGCTATATCCTGCTTGGAAGGGACGCAGATTGGACAGCGACAGTGAGAGTGTGAAGAGGCCGGTGCCCAGACCCCAGGCAGGCTCTTCTGCAGTGTAGCTGAATGACTTTTGAATAGTGTTGACTTAAAAGAACTCTCTTCCTGCAGGTTTAATAAGCCCCCCTGGGAAGCTCCTGATGTGAATGGGAATCACGACTTGACATAGACGTGAAAGATGATGTGTCAGCAGGGCCGATTCGATTCTAAATGGAGTGTTAATTTATTTGCTGTGATTTCACGCATCTGCTCTGGCCACGATGTCATATTACGTTAATCCCTGAGATATTACTCCACGTAGGTATATTCTCTACATACAAGGTGGGTGGGGAATGGGGGAATTTGTACATGTGCTTTTCTTAAAAGGAACATATACCCTTTTATTCAAAGGACTAACACACAGAAGATGGTCAATTTCCCCACTATCTGGTTACACGGTCTCCTGAGGCTAAGACATGGCTTCGTATTTGAGACCATGAGATTGAGGAACAGTTTTGACAGTAACAGTCTCTGGGAAGTCCTAAGCCACACAGCAAGCCACCATATGCAGAGCTACTTAAAACTGTGGTTTGGGGCACCTGGGTGGCTCAGTTGGTTAAGCAACAGGATCAGGTCATGATCCCGGAGTCCTGGGACTGAGTCCCACATCTGGCTCCCTGCTCAGCAGGGAGTCTGCTTCTCCCACTGACCTTTCTCCTCTCATTCTCTCTCTCTCTCCCTCTCAAATAAATAAATAAAATCTTTAAAAAAAATTAAAAAAATCTTTAAAAAATAAATAAAATCTTTTAAAAAACTTATTTATTTAAATAAACAAAATATTTAAAAAAATAAATAAAATCTTTTTAAAAAAGTGGTTTGGACAACTTTACTCCTACAGGAAATATTACTCTGTAAATTTTGTCTGGACAGCAAAAACAGAAGTGCTTCCCTAAACATCTGGGCTGGGGCTTACATATGGGTAAGGGAGCACAGAAGAAAAAAAGAGAGAGAGAGAGAGAGAAATCACTTTGCAGCAAAGATGAGTAGATTTCATTGGCCGCTTAGGTTCTTTAAAGTCTCACAAGACAGGTTGGGTTTGCCCCCTCAGAAGACAATTTGACGGTTTCATTAGGAAACAGATGTATGTAGACCACTGGGGGAGATAAAGCTCAGTTAATCCCAGCTGTCTGTGAATGAAATGTGGGGGACTTTAACACAGAAACCAATCCCAAACTGAATGCAGTCCCTTCCAAGACAAACAAATCCCAGAGGCTACAGACACTGGCGCTGCCCGGAATCTACGCATTCAGGGCTGTGGTCAGTCTCCTGGGCTGCCTTGCCTCTCTGATAGGGCAGCAAGTTTTGCAAGCTCCGCATCATTCTCTGGGTTAGTGAAGTGGGTGTCGGGACCACAATGAGTGAAAGCAGCTCCAAGTGAGAACAGGGGGCTGGTGGTTAGCAAAACAGCTTTCTAATAGGGGGCTCAGTCTGCCCCAGGTGTGTAGGGACTTTCCCTTGGCAAAAGGGAACCTTTTCTCCTCTCAGTTTGAATGTAAGTTACGGTTACAGGGGAGTCAGGATCCACCTTTGCTCAGGGAATGTGCAGCTTTCCTGGGTTGAGGGGAATAGAGAGCCAGAGAAGACACCCTGCTCCTTCACATAAGTCTCCACAATGCTAAAGACACTGGAAAGTACCATGACCTTTGTAAGATATGCCTTCAACTCCCCAAGAATTTACAGCCCAGTAAAGGAGAGGTCAGTGGGTTCACTTTCATTCTTACACCTTCAACAAAAGTGCTGGGGAGTGGGGGGGTTCCTTTACCAAATGTTTGAACATGCAAAGCTAACAGGTTCATCTGGGAATCTGTGGTTAAGAAGAAAATGAAATTCTAAGCACATATAAGGATAAGAGCAAATCCAGATACATCCATGTAGTAAATTGAATCATTGTCAGTAATTCTCCATTCTCTCCCCGTATTAGAATATTCATACCCTTTGCTATGTGCCTTTATAGTTTTCTCCACTAGCTGCAGAGAATATTTTCCTGTTCTATTAATGGAAATTATGGTTTAGTGAGATATTGGCCTTTGCAAGGCCAACAATCCAGATATTACTTTCTTTTAGACACTGGTTGGTATGTCCCCATGATCCAAAGCACTTTAATTCCCTTTTCCTTCTTCTAAGGTCATATCTTCCATCCTTTTAAGTTATTTGGTGTTCTTCTTTAGAACTTTTAAATAGCACTTTTCTTCGTAGCTTTTCCTTATTTGTATAACTTTAGGCAATCCGCCTAATCTGGGCGTCAATTTTAACATCTGTGAAACAAGGTGATGGGATTTCGTGATTTTTAGGACCATTTCTGCCCTAAATACTCACAGAAACAAAAGTTCTCAACTTTTTATTTTTATCAAAGTCATTGGCAAGAATTAAATGAAAATGCAGGTACTTAAATCTCAGCTTCCATAGACTTTAACAGATCTGGGGTGGGACTCCAGTGCCTGTTTTTTTAATGCATACCCCCCAAAATGGTCTTCTGTACAACCAGGTTTATTCTATGAACTCCGTTGTTTTTCATCTAAAACCATGACTTTCGTAGAGGAAGAGGGGTTTTAAATAAGAGTTAAAGGAACAAACTTCCCAGTTGACTTAGTGGGGATCTTCGATCAGAGGGGAGTTGAGACAGTGAGAATCAGCTGGATGAGATAGCCCTCTGAGGAAATTCAGAAATGTCCAGCTCTATACAGAACCTCCCCATATTTGTAGCACTCTTGGGGCAAATTATTAATTGAATGTGTCATTGATCAGGTTCAAAAAAGGAAACACACCATAGTAAGTAAAACAACCTATGAGTGATTAAAAAAAAAAATAAAACAGCTCAGGGCACCTGAGTGGCTTGGTTGGTTGGATGTCTGGCTCTTGATTTCAGCTCAGGTCATAATATCAAGGTCCTGCGATCAGCTTATGATGGGTGCCCTGATCAGCTGGGGGTCTGCTTGAGAGTTCTCTCTCTCTCTCCCTTTCCCTCCACTCCCTTCCACTCACATTCTCTCTCTCTCTCTCTCAAAGGAATAGATGAGTATTTAAAAACAAAACAAAACAAAAGAGTTCATTGTTTTCAAGATGTGGCAGTGAGAAGGTTTTTATATAAAAACAGGCCACTAGATCTAACAGATGAGTATTTTAAAATACAGGTTCTACGTAGAGATGTTTCTGTGTGTTTATATGTGTGTTCACATGTTGAATCTATATGACATATTAAGCTCTATTTTAAAATAACCAATGAATGCCATAATTTCATTGTAACAACACTTAAAATGTATTTCATGCATTGTATGGCCTTAGGAGCATCATCTACAAGGGTTTGGTAAAGCCACAAGTATAGAAATAATGATTTTGAGTTGTACAGCTTATTTTAGGACATTTGAAGATGTTAGAAAGATTTCCTACAAGATCGTCTCACTTATTGATCCCTGTCTAAGATCCTTTACTCCAAAAGTGTCTGCCAAAGAAAAGAACACAGGGAGCCAGAATCTAAGGAAGCAGGAGGGAAGTCTGAGCAGGGGGATCGCCATTCCATCTGGAAGTGGATTGGATAATAGGATATACATCCATCCTCATCTTTGTGTGTCTTCCCTGCCCAGCAGGAAAGAAGGGGCACCTGCCTTAGCCCCTATGTTCCATTTATACCCTATACCCTTCCCATTTTTAGACTGTTTTACTTCTCTGCAGTGAAAAACTACTTCCCAGGGGTAAAGGTGTCTGGTCTAGGAGAAATCTCACTGATCCCTCTTGCACTGAATATTGAGTTGTGCCTTGAAAGTCATTTTACACAAAAGTGCAGTGTGAGTGGACTCAAGTCCATGTCTGATACCCTTCCTCCCAGCCCCGGGGCCACTTGCTACCCAAACACCTTGGTTGCTCTAGAACGGAAAGCTTAGCATGGTGTGATTTATGTAATACACTTATGTGCTATGATCCCTGTGGATAATGAAGCTTCCTAGAATGAGTTAGCAACCCTTTTACAAAGTTGTATTTTTAAAAGGGTGACAACCACTTACCCGGTGTGCTTTGGGTACATTTATATGAATCACTCCCAACTACTGTGTCTCATAATACTGACCCTTGAGCTAATTAACAGCCTGGTGTGATTGTTTCTATTTTGTAGCAACCAATTAAACAGTTGCTCTGGATAGAACTGACAACAAAATGTGAATTTAAAGACAGAAACCAGGATCTGCTGGTTGAGAGGAGAAAGCCAAGACCAGATAAGCCAAGCAAAGATGGGGTGAGGTTGTCAGCGGTATTGTTTCTGGCAGTGGAGTACTGGGCCTCCTTAAATTCAGATTCAGACCAAGGTTAACCTGAGAAGCACCTCCATTAGCCAATAAATAAACACACAAATAAACAAATAAATGGTTTTTTTTTTTAAATGTAACAGAGCATCTGTGTTTGTGCTGAGGGAAGCCAGACCTTAAATCGTGGCCACCCAGTTGCCCACGCGAGGCACTTCCTAGGTAGAGACTTGTGTCCAGACCCTTCCCCAGAAGCAGTTTCACACCTGCATTTAAGCTTTGGCCTAAATGGACTCTCCTCGAGCCTCCCTCACCCGAGCATCGAGCATCCGACCCACGGAAGCACGGAACTGCAGGCTCTTTGACACTCAGTAGTCTCCAAAGGAGATTTAAAGGTGTCTGGCGGTCGCTCCCACTCACCTTCCCCCAACAAGCATCTCCATTTAGAGAGGGAGTTCTGGTTGTCTCCCCGAAGACAAAGAGCAAAAAGGTGAGGGACGCACGTAGGGAGGCCACACGACCTACTCGCGCCCCTCCCCGCTCACCCACGCGTCTGCTCCCGGCTCCCCCCACCCCTGCAGGGGACTGGCGGTCAGGTGAGGTTACCTGTGCGCCTCGAGAAGCCCCGAGGGGCGCCGCGATCCTTCCTCCCGAAGTCGCCCCACTCCCGGCCGGATCCCCAGGACTCTTGCCCCCCTCTCCCCGCGCGCGCGCGTCCCCTGCCCCTCGGGCTCCAGCGCGCAGCGACAGCCGCGCGCCGCGCTCGGCTCCCCTCCGCCGACCTGGCGTGACGCAGGCAGAGTCTACTTAAGGGAGGATTAGAGGCGGCGGCCGCGGATTCCCGAGCCTGTCAGCCAGCTCCGCGCGCTCCGCCCGGGCCTCGCAGGCGGCAGCCCAGGAGCGCCCGGTGCCTGCTGAAGTGCCAGGTGCGGGGGCTGGTGCCCAGACCCTTCGCTGGCCCCCAACCCCGGGGCTGAGACCTCTCTTGGGCGGGCGAGAGCTCGGGGACCTGCACGCTGCCACCCCCGCCCCGCCCCTCTCCCCGGCATCCGCGGGCTCCAGACCTGATCCCGGGACGGCGCGGGAGGTTGGTGCCCGCTCTTCCGACCGCGCCAGCTGCCCCATCGATCCGGGAGCGCTACGATTTCTTTCCTCATTTCCCTCTTTTAAGTGCAATAAAAGGGAGAGGGGATTCCTGGATTTTTTTTTTTTTTTAAATTGTTTGCTTCTTTAATCGGGGGTCAAGCGCTCCCAGTCGGGAGGTGCGGCCCAGGGAGGGGCCAGGAGCGGGAACGTGCCCGGTGCTGCCCAGTCTTTGTCTGCTGCCTCCGGATGCACAGCGATGGGGGAATGGACCATCTTGGAGAGGCTGCTGGAAGCCGCGGTGCAGCAGCACTCCACTATGATCGGGAGGTAAGGGCGCTGAGCCGGTCGTCAGCGGGCCCCGTCGGGCTACCCCGGGAGTCCCTTGGCACGTCCAGACCGAGCCCCGACAGCCCCCAGCCCATCCACTGCCCCCTTCCCATCCTCTTCCATCCGTGCGCCTGTGTCCCTGAGTAATTGTCCACCCCTTGTCCAGTGATCCCCCCTCCCCCAACTGCTCCTGATCAGCTCTCCATCACTTCCACCCCTGAAGCACCACCGGGGGGTTGATTCTTCTCCCATTAGGAAAGGAGTTGTCGGCTCAGTCGTGGTACCCCCACTCTCCAGAATCAGAGCCAATCTCCATCCGGTTCCCTAAATAGAATCTACAAGGAAGGCAAGATTGTGTTTGGACAGAGAAGGGCAAATAGGGAGATGGATTTTCTCTTCAGAGCAGATGTATGTTTCCCCCCAAAATATTTCTTAAGCTAAACTGATTTGGCTGTTAAACTTAAGGTCTCAGAAAACCACACTCCCAATTGATACTTTTATGTCTGCACATGTATAATATATATACTCATATGTATATACACTATATATATCTATGTGTGTATATATATAAAATATGTATATATGTGGATAGTTATTCATAGCTATCTGTTCATATAAAGCATTAAGTTCAATATTTATACCGAGGGTAAACTAAATATCCACTTGGGATAGTTATATGCACACTCTGTGTATAGACTTTGAAACATGTACTCTCTGTTCAGATATTCCATGTGCACTTGCCATATCCAGAATGAAGGTGTGCCTTTTGCCTCTGTATGTTCCATGTATGCAGGTGAAGTCTATCTGTTGCCATACACCACATCTAGCGTATGGAGGTATGAACATACTTGAGACCCTTGTATTATGAAGTTTCCAATCTACCGGCAACCAGCATTAAGGGAAGAGCCAAAAAAGAATTTCCTAGATTCCCAGCTCAGTACCACACAGGGATGGACAGCTCCCCAGTCAAAGGACTGGCAAACACCAGAGCAGGGAAAGGAGGAGTAGGGGTTTCTTAAGTCAGTGACTAGACCCTTGAGAACCTCTCTCCCTCCCTCTTCCCCTGCTCAGGATCTTGTTGACTGTGGTGGTGATCTTCCGGATCCTCATTGTGGCCATTGTGGGGGAGACGGTGTACGATGATGAGCAGACCATGTTTGTGTGCAACACCCTGCAGCCCGGCTGTAACCAGGCCTGCTATGACCGCGCCTTCCCTATCTCCCACATTCGTTACTGGGTCTTCCAGATCATAATGGTTTGTACCCCCAGTCTCTGCTTCATCACCTACTCTGTGCACCAGTCCGCTAAGCAGCGAGAACGCCGCTACTCTACTGTCTTCCTGGCCCTGGACAGGGAACCCCCTGAGTCCATGGGGGGTCCTGGAGGAACTGGGAGTGGAGCCAGTGGTGGTGGCAAACGAGAAGATAAGAAGTTGCAAAATGCCATTGTCAATGGGGTGCTGCAGAACACAGAGAACACCAGCAAGGAGACGGAGCCAGATTGTTTAGAGGTTAAGGAGCTGACCCCGCACCCATCAGGGCTGCGCACCGCAGCACGATCCAAGCTCCGAAGGCAGGAAGGCATCTCCCGCTTCTACATTATCCAAGTGGTGTTCAGAAATGCCCTGGAGATTGGGTTTCTGGTGGGCCAATACTTTCTCTATGGCTTCAGTGTCCCAGGGTTGTATGAGTGTGACCGCTACCCCTGCATTAAGGAAGTGGAATGTTATGTGTCCCGACCTACCGAGAAGACTGTCTTTCTAGTGTTCATGTTTGCTGTGAGTGGCATCTGTGTTGTGCTCAACCTGGCTGAACTCAACCACCTGGGATGGCGCAAGATCAAGCTGGCTGTGCGAGGGGCCCAGGCCAAGAGGAAGTCAGTCTATGAGATCCGCAACAAGGACCTGCCCCGGGTCAGTGTTCCCAATTTTGGCAGGACTCAGTCCAGCGACTCTGCCTATGTGTAAAGGGGCAGTTTTGGGGAAGGCCTGGGGAAGGAAAAGGAGCCCCGAGGCAAATGCCCTCATTTACCACTGAGATGTAGGACAAGACTGGTTAAGAGAAGACCTTGCATCAATGGGAGAGAAGAGCAAGTAGAACATTACCACGCATCACACCGTCGGTTCCTACTGAAACCATGGGGTTAGAGTGATGAGATGGATGAGTGGGACTTCCTTGGGCCCTCTTTGTTTATGGCCCAGTCTGATCCTGACAACAGTGTACTTGAACAGCTACCAAGTAGGACTTAGCTTTGCTGAGCTCTATATCCTGGTGAATGGCATGAGACAAATATTTCATTGGTACAAAATGTGTGACCTGTCTCAACACATCCCTTCATCCTGGGCTGCAGGACAAACATCCTTGAGGCATCATCCGTGTACCTCCCTTATTAGCATGCCCCTCTCCCTCAACCCAGGATAGCATGCCAGCTTTTTTTCTGAATCTGGCCTTACAGTATACCTAATATGGTTTATCTGCAAGCTAGAGGGAATTACAGGGGGTTGCTTTTTGGAGAATGGCCATAGCAGAGGTTTCCATTAAAGCCCCATCCGACTAGCCCTTAGTCATTATGAAAACCTTCGGAATGTCTCAGTATTTCCAATTTTCTAACTCAAACTGCACTGGTGCTGTTTATTAGGGGCAGGGTTTGGGTGGGAGGGAGGGGATTGGAATATGCAGCTATAACACTTCTGTGAGATGGTTGTTGCACTGTTAGGCATGTGGTTATGAGCTTTGGGATATTTCTGCCTTCCAGCTTGTGGACTTTGGCTAGCATTAAAAATATTTTGTCATTGTTGTTAATATCAAGGGTGTCTACCTGAGCCACAGAATTTCTAACTGGTATATTTCACTCATTTTCTTACATAGTTCCGTTGTGCAACACAGCTGCACATCATTTTGCCATGGTTTGAATTTACCTGTGTGCTCACACCAGAGACCTTAATCAGCCCATGTGAATCTCAATTTATCATTTTATCAGTTATTTCTGAAACACACACACAAGACCTAGTTAAGAAACCTGGAACGAAACACGATTGGCTAACACGTGTTTACGGATGTTTATTTGAGACATATACCAAAGGTTCAAAAACCTGTTTCTTTGGACTGTGAATATGTTTCCTTCTCTTTGCTCTTATTTATTTAAGTGCCATACACTACCTTTCACATCCGCTGTGTATTTAGTTCAAGCACTGGCCAAGAAGAATATTCGGATAATTGCTTTTATGAAGCCCTCTATTTCCTTTGCATTATCATTTATGATTTTTGATTTAGGTATGGACATGATGTAACACACAACTGAGGATTTGTTTAAAATAAAGTTCTTGCCTTTTTTTGTAAACTGGGAAGAGTCTGCATTTTTCTATTTTGATTGGGGTGTCTATTTATTTAAACACATGTTCACAAATGTTGCATATTCAAAAGGCAGAACATTGGGGCCCCGAAGGGAGGAATGGATGACTGATAAAGTCCAACCAACCACTAACAGATGAGGAGAGGCTGGTATATTTTGGAATGTTTAGAAGAGTGTGATGAGACATTCAGATAGTAGTATTTACTCAATCCTTTCCATTGTAGCCAAGATTTCTCTGCTTGTCTAGGGATATTTCTTGTAATAACATTCCAATACTATATCATAGTAACTCATCCCGAGAGTAGAATATTTTCTCCTTTCCATTGTATTTTTCTGCCATGGATTGTCACATTTGGCAGATATGTTGAACTCCCCATCATCTCTTTAAGACCTAATGTTTAAAATGGTGCTGACCTAATAGTCAAACAGAACCTCCTAGACCAGTACTATCCAACACAACTTTGTGAAATGATGGACATTTCTACTGTCTGTGTTGCTCAATATGAGAACAACTAGCTACATGGGGCTGTTGAGCTCTTAAAGTATGGCTAGTGCAACCGATGGACTGAATTTCTAGCTTTATTTAATCTTAATTAAATTAAAAAGCCATATATGGTTAGCTGCTACTGTCTTATACAGCACAGTATTAGACTGCACACAGTCAATCATTTCTTGTTGGGTTCTTTCCAAGGAGAACGATCTCCTCCTTATAGGTCATTAGACCTGACTTTTTAGTCATACATTTCACCATGATTTTTTGGCATTTTCTGTCTCCATGTGGTCCCATTAGCTCAGTAGGCTAGTGTTCTTCTTCTAGTTCTTTAATGCTCTTGACCTTATTCCACGAGCACTTGGTCTAAACGTTGGGAAGCAACATGGCCTTTCCTGGATGGTTGTTTCTCAAACACAATCGTGGCACCCTTTAACTATAGCAGATCAGATGCCAATTTTAGAATGAAAATATGTTTATTTCGATCTATTGGTTTCCATCTGCAATATACATAGACAGTTGAAAATGATTATCCTTGAGTAAAGGAGCAGATCCTCCTCTGTTTTCTGTTTGGTGAGCTAAAAATATTTGAAGACACCTCCCAGAGATGGAGGAAGAGTGTTGTTTGAGAGCTCTTAGCATATGCTTGGGTGTGAAAGAAGTAGGAATCTGTGTGGAAAACAAGGGCTGTTGTATTTATGCTGTGATATAAGATTAGAAGAACGATAGTGTATCAGTGGGGCTGATCTATTTCAGTTCTTTGATGTTTCCAAACACCCACAAATGGAAAGATTATTAGTTCACTTGTCAGAAGTGGAGGAGGGAATATACCTTCCTCTGGGCATATAGAGTCATCCCTCAGAATGACTGATCTATGTCAGTCTGATTCTGTTGCTTTCTACTTAATGAAGAAAATATACTGATGATTTGATGGTTCACATAGCTGTGTGATGGATGTGACCTTAATCTAGACGTACTTTGTGAGAGGATAGTGCAAATACATTCTCTTAGATTCAAAAGCCTTTTGGTGAACTGCAGGCCCTTTTGGCCCCTGTGTGAGTGTACGTGTGTGTGTGCACACACATGCACATGTGCACGCATTGGTAGGGACAATGGGTGCAAGTGTATGAACTGGATTTAAAATTTTGGAGAATACACTGGACAGATCAAAGTTACTTAGTCTGGGAAGAGAAAAGCTGAAAGTACAGAACTTATAATTTTAAAATCCTCAGATACTTTAAGGGTTAAAAAAATGAGAGATAACAGCTGTGCTCTCTAGCCTCTGAGGACAGAGGCAAAAGACTGGATTTTATTAAAATTGAAGGTGAAGGAAGCTAGGAAAGCACCAGAAACCACAGGGTTTCTCTTTTACCTCTCTGGGGTTTTTTTGTGTTTTGTTTGTTTGTTTGTTTGCTTGTTTTTGTTTTTGTTTTTGTTTTTTGTCTTTGAGAGAGAGCATGCACAGAAGCGGAGGGTAGGGGGCAGGTTGGGGTAGAGAGAGAGGGAGTGAGAGAAAATCCGAAGCAGTCTCCACGCCCAAAGAGGAACCCATATGGGGCTCTATGCGGGGCTCGATCTCATGACCCTGAGCTCATGATCTAAGCTGTAATCAAGAATCAGATGCTTTAACCAACTGAATCACCTAGGACCAACCCCCCTCTTTTTTTTTTTTTTTTTTTTAAACACTGTTTCTTCTGTAGGGAATCCTTGTCCCACCACTCCTTTCACTGAATGTTCCTGTTCACTGTCCACTTACTAAACTCTTCTCCAGGCTGGCTTAGTGACCTTGCACTGAGCCTTCATAAAATTCACTGTTAGGAGCTGCATGAAGATGAGATGTTCTTCGATCAGTATGTGGCTCCTTGATGGTAGGAACTGGGCCTTACCCATCATGGCCATATGTGACCTTTCTTGTCAGTCTTCCTTCTAAGAATGGTATTATAGAACCACAGTGTATGAAAACTAAAAACATCCTGTGAAGACAGGAAGTTGAGTCCTTTAGGATACAGTTGAAGAACTCCAACCATCTAAAATCAAGATAGTGGGTTTCTTGGAAAATGATATAAGCATGCATCTTGGAGGACTGGAATATTTAGGAAACAGTATTTAGATTGGTTGTACTTTATTTTTTTTGCCACGTGTGGTTTTTTGTTTGTTGTTTTGGTGCTTTTTTGGTGTGTTTTTTTCCTGCTGCTACCATAACAAAAATCTCATAGACTGGATGGCTCAGATAACAAAAATGTATTTTCTCACAGTTCTGGAGGCTACATGTCCAATACCAAGGTGTGAACCAGTTTGTTTTTTTCTGAAGGCCCCTCTCCTTGGTTTGCAGATGGCCTCCCTGTTGTGTCTTGTTACGTCACATGGTGTTTCCTCAGTACACATGGGTGAACACCTGATGTCTCTCTGTGGGTCTAAATTTTCTCTTCCTATGAGGACATTAATCAGATTAGATGAGGGCCCCACCCCCCAGTGGCCTCAGTTTAACTTAATTACTTCTGGAAGGGCCCTATCTCAAAATACAGTCACATTCTGACCTGGGCGAACACAATTCAGTTTATAATACTAAGTGTTTTCAAACTTTTAGGTACCCTTATGGTTAGAGAGGTTGTTTAATTTATTGCACAAAACAGGATACCTTGGAGAAGGAAAGTGGCAGGATAGCTGATTGAATGGCAAGCCAGAACAATAGGTGTAAACTGGATGGATCCTGAGCAAAGCAAGATGTGTGGAAACTTTATTTAAGACAATAAATGGTCATTGAGGTCTTGCTCGAGGGCCTGGAAGCCTGGAGATAATAATAACCTGCATTGGCTCTTGAGAAGAGCTGTTGAAGCTACATCTCCAACAAAAAGATGAAAATTTATGTCAATAATAATGGGAAAGCAGTATTTAAAAACACCAATGCCTTTGGCCCATTCCTGACCCCTAGTCTGGAATCTCTGATGTGGGAGCCTAGCCATCAGGATGTTTTTATTTTCCATGCCCGGGAGATTCTAATCTGTGGTCAGGCCTGAGAACAACTGAATCAGAGACGTCCGCATAAAATGATGAGAATCAGATATTTGGAGCAGAAATTAGGAAGGGGGGAAAGGGCAGTATGAAGTTCTCCCAACAGAACTTCCCTTGTTTTTGTTGTATGTGAAGTTAGTGATGAAAAGTTATAGATGGA